AAAACAAGCAGCAAACCACAAAACAGACTGCAAAATGAAGAAAATACTTACAACAGGAGGAAAAAAAAGGCAAAACAAATAATTGAATTTCATCATTCAACTCGGGTCAAATATAGGGGATTTGATATCATCTCCTGATGCAAATTTAACTTCATTCAACGTGTAGGGTAAATATTCGAGACTTGTGATTAGCTCCCAAATTCATCGAGTGGGCGATTGCAAAGAAACTCTTTACCGTGATTATCACGACAGGAACAAAATGGCTGCAAATCAGAAGTCTAATAAACCAAAGATGAATGTTGACAATGTTGTAAAAATATTAGAGTTGATTAAAACAATCATTATCATACAGATTCTCGCTTAAAAATGAAAAATGACATAACTGTATCCAACAAAACTATTACGAGGAAGTCAAATTGGTTCCATAACACCCTTTCTTTTTCATTTCATACTACAAAGTCTATGATTTGAAAAAAAAATAAAAAATGATATATGCTAATAAACCCAAGAACTCTATACAGCACTATTGAACGTCCTCCAATTGTTCAGTACAATAAGAAAATAAAATAGCAGATCTAACAAGAACCTTGCCGAAAAAGAAACTCCTTGTCCTTCAATCCACAATTAAAGTACACAAGCCCAATGAGTATAATCTACCACTGGTTTGGAAATGCCTCCCGATAACTAGTCTCCTCAGCCTGCGTCAACTGTCTGATTGTACCATCCCCAGCACGAGTGTTCAAAAGCCTCTGAGCCAATCGAACCTTAGTAGATTCCTTCTTTCTCAACATCGATGCAAGTGCTTGTTTATTATTACTGGTTCTACCATGATTTCTCGACCTGCTTCCTGTCTCCATATTCTCCCCAACATCATTTGATCTCCAAGTCGAAGCAAGTGCTGCATCTCGTAAAACTGATTCATTGTGTTGGCGGATTTTTGCAAGCTTTGCTCTCTTCAAGGCCTTTTTGTCCAATACTCTCTTGTTAGCTTCTTCCTGATCCCTTTCCCGGACATTCTTCACGGCTTGCTTCAAAAGCCGACCGACTAAGTCATTATTCATATCTTGATCTGATTCCTCTGATTGGTTCTGAGTATTCTCGTTCATTACGAGGTTTTCATTAACTGGTTTCCCTTCATCGTCCCTCGGGATGATTTGCCCGTGAAAAGGGCACACCTTCAAATCCCTTCTCTGACAGAGCCCGCCCTTTTTCAGTGGGGCCCGGCATGGTGGGATTTCGACTGGATTTTCCTTGTAAACGGATGTGTGCACATTAAGTTCGGCAATTTTGTCTGCCGGAATAACTGCATCTTGTTCAACCCTACCCCAGTGGCCCTCGAGGTCCAGTCCCCTCTGATTAGCCAAGGCATCTCTTTCCGAACCCCAGTTGTCCAAGAAAGAACCCCAGTTCAGAATGGGAGCTTCATTCAAGAGTTCACTTCGAATGGGGTCTGATCTCTTTTGATTTTTCCCATTGTTTGAAGTATTGTCTCGTGTGCTGTTGGAAGTCGATGCAGTCTGTGCATTGTTGTTTGTAGAACAGCCCGGACTGACTTTCTCCTTTTCGAGTGGTTCTACAGTACCATCTTCCCAAATATCATCTTCCTCAGCTTTTGCACTTTTGGAAAGGTCACAACCCAACTCCTCGCATTTTCTTTTTGTGGACTGAATTAAGTTTCTTAAATCTATCAGATCTTTCAAAGCAGAGTCTCGAAACCTATTATCTGGAAGTTCCACCCTGATCAGAACAGAAATCCATTCCTGTATCCCAACTAGATGCTTAGTTACTAAAACTTTATA